AATACAAAATACCTAAAGTGATAAATCTCTAGTAGACTATAGCTGTCTTGCAGGGTGATCGATGTCTAGAATAATGACTTCTCTAATTTCTTCATTTCGAACAGAATTTTTTCATTTTTCTCTACGAGCGTCCTATTTTTGTTTGCATTGCTGCTATTCGCTCATTATTTTTCATTTTTTTTAATTTGTTTCTCTTAACTTAACATTCTTATTATTATAATTGTTGAACTGATTGACAAATAAGTCTGTTTTACATATTCATGATGTCTACAGCATACCTTATGCAATAGCATATATATTAATCAACTCACAAATAATGATATTCATTATTTTTCAAAATTATAACTTGATCAATTTTTCCAAAAAAACACTCGAAAATCTGATACCTTTTATTATTGGTTGCTAAGGTCTGTAATGGGGGCCTGTCTGTAAGGGGTGGGGGATGGGGAGCCGCAAAAACTCGAACTTAAAACTTACACTCACTATTTTCTTCGAAAATATATGTGAGTTCCACAAAATATTGTTTTCTCGCTCTTATTAAAAAAATGAGTCTTTTTCAAACATTCTCCCTTACATTATATTTCTTTTTTTTCTAAAAAAACCATATGTCTTATTACATTTATGTGGTCTTATTCTATTACTCATCTATTTATTTATTCCACATAAATCATCAAAACATTATTCCAATTAACTAACATGCAAACACTGTTCTGCAGAACATGCCCTATGTGGAAGCATGTTGCATAACTGCTTGAATACTTTCTCATTTGTTATTAAACATATTCTGAATGCGTAGTGGATATTCGGAAATTGAACCACTTCTCTGGAAAATTATATCAAGCATCGGATTTCATAAGCTGAAGTTTGTACCTTCAATCTAAAGATACAACGTATATTTACTTTTATGTCACCCATGACATGCAATGATTGGAAGCGTTATTCGATGAGCGCGAATATATGACATTTTAATCAACACACTATCTGAATTATAATTTATAATTGAAATATTGTTTTTCTTGTTGTTTCCTATTAGAGCCTTTTTTTTATTGTCGAAATCTTCGTTTGTATTGGAACTCGCATTAGACATCTAATCTGAAAATCGGTTGCGCTGGGTTGGAAAGAACTTCGCAGCGAATTCATTACAAATCTGAAGAATTCTAGTCAAAGATATCCTACGTAAATCAATTGTTACATCTTCTGACAATAAACTTAGAATTAGTTGTCTTTTGAGTTGTAATATTTGGCAAATAAAAAATAAATATCGGATAGCTTTTGCCGTGCCCTTCTATTCACCATCCGATAAAACAAAAGATAAAATCTCTTTTCCGTACATATAAGATGCAGTGATATTGCTCTTAATGAGATTCAAAATATGCATGGAGTCCATATTTTGCAATATTCTACTTTATTATTAGCTTCGAAAACAAGCACCTTGACATATTCACATTTCTTGGCGTATCTTTATATGAAGTATTTATTGAGAATGTTGAAGCAAATTAAAATGATGATTAAATGTAAAAACAGCACGAGTTGTAAAAAGAGAAAAAGTTGAGCATATTAATTAAGAATCAGTAGACTAACTACTTATAAAATATTCATCCTTGGTTAGTAATCTTGTGGATATGTAACGTTATATGAAAGTACTCTAAGCTCAATTAGATTACATTCATACAACATAAAAAGTTGATGAAGTTAAGGAGTTCGGCTAAAATATATGAAGAAGTAAAATGAGAGAATGCAATGTTCGAAGTCATTTGACCAATGTCTCACACAGTTTTTATTTTGATTATATTGGCTGAAAATATGTTCATGCTTGTTGTAAACTCAATGATCAATCTATAAAACGATCTAATTTTTGTTGATCTCATATCGCATGAATAGTCACAACAACATTTGTGTTCAAATTTAATATTTACTTCGAAATAAATCATAGTAAGCATTATGTGGCCGAAAAATTTATCCAGAAACTGAATGTTCTTAACAAGTATCCTGTTCAATCCGTAGTCACCACTTTGAGTCAAAACTAAACTTTGTGATCTAATTATCAATTACATGGTAAACGAACAGCAGCAACAAACTTTCCTCTCATGTATAGCATTAACTGTGAAGCAAAACTTCTGTCGTTATTATGAGGAAGCAAATCATCACAAAAATGAATAATCCTAAGAATAGCTCTATTCAAGTATATCAGTCACTCGCAAACAATGCTTGTGTATTACTTGAATGGAACAGCTTATATACTAGGTGAACATTTTTGACGAA